TCCAGATACCGTGAGATTTAGTGGGCACTAATTTGGAGGTACAATTTTCGAAACTGGGTTTAGACATAGCGTTCTGGCTGAACATGTTTCATGGTTTCTTTCTGACCGTACATGACCTCTGTACTTCACACAGCCTCGTTTACCATTAATGGAAGAATGATTGTAAATGTTGACTTGGGAGAGATATGAAGAGAAACAGTCGTCATCTCTTTTCAACATACGTTTGATTTTAAAAGTAGCTAGGAAAATGTATTCTGCAGTCGGTCAGAATCGGCCTGTGGTATGCCATTTGCACACAATTCTTTTCTTTAAATGAAACGCCGAACTCTTTAAAACAATAGACTTTTTTATAAATCATTCAGTTGGAGACTTCGTGTAACAACGTCCATAAATTTCAATTCTCATCCCTATTGCCGAGAAAGTCCCCAGGAACTACTCTTTCTCCTATAGTATAGTGCAATGTTGCACTAGATTTCATCAGAGAAAGCTTATATCAACTGATTCTTAAAGTATTATTGAAAACGGGACAAAAATTTCATTTGTTTAATATATTCTTGAAGGGCGATTCAATAGAAACACACCCAAGTGGGATTACCGAAGATCAACTTTGAACAGGAAGTGTCTCTCACATTGGCCAGTAACGAACTTTCGTGTCACAACAACGAACTAGAAAAGCATGTCCAAGTCCAGCATGAACTTGAAATGTCTTCAGTTTCCCATGAGAGAAAGGAATCAAAGCCCAAATATCTTCCAGGAAGGCCTTCTTCAGTCACCACAAAACCTACCTGTGATTTTTCTTATGTCTGGCCTCAGAAGAAGGCGCTTAAAGGACGTCAGTTTTTCTCTTTGATATGTATAGTTCCGTACAGAACTGCTTTAGTAACAGTCGGTAGGATTAGGCCAGAGGAACCTTCCGTTTGTTGGCGTCCTGGATGCATCTTTCAGTACTCAGGGTAGAGCAGATTTCGGTGAGCACCCTCAAGTGGGCGTATGTTGATTAGCACTTTAAATTTGAGTTTGTTGAAAACACCGTTTAATTTGAAAGCCATTCTAAAGAGATTATTGTAAACAACTACGGCAGATTATTTTTCTTGTTGCATAACTAAAAAAAATAAATTAAGATAAGAGCTTGAATCCTCTTTAAAATAAACACGCACCAGAGTAAACTGTGCACTCCATTGACTTGTTTATGCTCATTTTGCACGAGGACAGAACTGTTCTGCAGGTGGAGCTGAATGAGGAACCAGGTTCTAGCGCTGAAAGAAAACCGTTGCGCAGTATCACATGGAGTCAATCTGCATATTCCTTCCCGAGATCTAACTGCTCTCACCTTCATGGAGGACATATCATAGTCATCCACCAAGACTCTCTCGATTATTTCAACACCCAGGAACTTAGCACCTACCGCTGTGTTAGCTGAAAACGCAAATTAAAATTATACTTATTCGTATAAAAATGACATTTCCACCTTCCCATCGCTCAGAACAAGCATCAGTTTCCTAATTTCTGTGTAACTTCATAACCGTTAATATAAAGAAACGTAGGAAAACTTACTAATTCCAAGTGAAATGTTGGCTCTGATTTAGTACTGTATCAATATCAAATTGAGAAACATTGAAGATTTATTAAAAGTTGCTTATTTTGTTAATGGGAATTATATTATATGAGACACAGCGTACAGTGTTCTAATTATAGTGTTATCTAAGTTTTAAACATTTATCTACATACTGTCACGTATAAGGCATTTGTATGACTGATAACAATGGGTTCAGGATTGGATGATTTGATTTATGGACACTTCCTTTACAATTGCAATCAATTATGACAGCACACAATTAACGACTGTCTAAGTAAGACTCGTTCCATTCCTTACCGGACTACGAGTGTCTTCTCTTCCACTGTGACTGACTTGGTTCTTCAGCTTCCATTGTCCGCTGGTTAACACTCCACAGCTGAACGCTGAACTTCTGAATTCTCTTACGAAAGACGGCTCACTCGCGGGTGAACTGAATTAATGTATTATAATTCAGGGCGAGCCGAATATAAGACATTGTGTCTTATAGTTCATCCGTTATTCTGCTTTTTCGTGTTTACATACATTGCCATGGAAACGTGTTTACTGAACCGTTGCCAAGCAATGGACTATTCCGCGTCTATTCGTTGCCACGGTAACATGATTACCAACATATTTGGCCCCTAAGAAAATTGTTAGAAATATTAAACAGTCAGATGTGATATTTTGATGATGACATTCGTAAATGTGCAATTTTATTACATTTATTTAGCCGAAAGCGTTACCGATATAGACATGTTGGCTTTCATAAGCTATAAGCCTAGGAAAGATGGCGAAGCGAATTTATGCTTGGTAGGAAATCAGCAAAAATATCATACATATTTTAATACCGATTGGAATTACGAGACTTGATTTAAATTCAGTTTTAATTCTATTACGAAGTGTATATATAAATAATTTGATCACATTTAAATTTCAGGCAAGCTTTGTATTTTCCGTTCTTCCGCGTATTCGTCGAAGTGGTTCTAATTATGAATGAATAAGGTGTGAGCTCGTTTTATCTATGAAGACCCATATTGCATTTTTCTAGGTTATGACACCGTGTATTCTGGCAGGCAAGTAACAGTGTTTCGGATGACCATAATACCGCCATATTCGTTGCCTGAAGATAGAAGCAGGATGTCCTTCCGAAACGCTGGTTCCCATCCTCCAGATCACACGGTTTCATAACTCAGAAGACCAAAATATAGTTATAAGCAATTTAAGCTAATAGAAATCCATAAATTTAGGTTGCGTTTTGCCTGTTTCTTCGTTCTCTGTACATATCACAAATATACTCACGCGGCCGTGAAGTGTTTCTAAGAACCTGCACGAACTCTTATTAATATTACAACCAACACGACCCTAAGAAATTTATTTAGGACTATGGCAGCGAAATCGCCGTTCACGGTAGCCGAGCGGTCTAAGGCATGCACTGTCTTCGCTCGCTCGGAAGCCGAGATCGTGGGTTCGAATCCCACTCAGGGCATGGATGTTTGTGTGCGTTTTTCTGTGTTCGTGTACAGGTAGTGGCCTTGCGACTAGCTGATCACACACCCAAGGAGTCCTACCATATGTCTAAGATCTAGAAAAACCGAAGTGAACAGAGAAGTTCATGGAGGTAGGCCTAGGCCCACTGGGGCTGTAGTGCCAAGGAAAAAAATGGTAGCGCAATATATAAGATAATATAATTCAGGATAGGTAATATATTTGGAATGAGAAAGAAAAAATGTTAGTTCATGGCCTCAAGTTAATAAAAATGTCTCGATGCTATATCTTCCAAAGAACGTAAAACCCTCTGCTTCATGAGCATTCTTAAAGGGAGAATTCCACTAGGTAGAACATTTAATATTAGTTTATTTCCCCAATAGAAGTGAGCAACTCACAAAATCAGTTCGTGGAACGTTACTGAGAAGTTCAAATATATTTAACACTGCTGTAATGCAATAGTCTCTAAACTGGTCTCAGGAGGAACTGTAATCCCACCAACCGGTATCTGCTCGCGTTGTATCATTGTATCCGCTGTCACAGTAAAACTAACAAGGAAGCAGTGAATCGTTTGAATGTGAAAGAACCAATCACAACGAATATGGGAATTCTAAAACAATTTAAGAAATGGATATACTTAGATTTCAAGTAGATTTCAATCAACAAGATTAGTTGACGTGTCCCATTAATATCTGCCCACAGGTTTCACATTAATTCCACTTCTGATGAAATGCGAAATCAGAATACATTCGAAACTATCTGTTTTTTAAACTTAGACACCGTCGGTACTAGAATTAAGAGAAGGATGTGCAGTATATATATCTGTAGTACGGATAGCGTCGGCCCTCACACACGAAACAGAGTACATTTTTGTGACTTGATATTTTCATGGCGGAGAAAATCCTTATTGACGTATTCTTCATTATAACACACTGCATTCTGGTACGCGAGTACTACTGTGCGTCCGAAGTGTTGGAATCTGCCTGCTAAATTTTGTTATAGCCCAGAATTCAATAACATGGAATATAATATTTGCAAATGTTATCTCTTGAGAGTTCAAGTAATCTACTTAAATTTCACACACTGTTCCTCTTAAACCTTTCTACGTCATAAAGGAGATTTATCATTCGAGAAAAAAACTATTAACCACTTCTGATACGAACACCTTGAGCGCATATGACTAATTCAACAGCCGTTGCTTTGTCAGTTCAAGCTGCATGTAGAATTATGTTAAGGAAAACTTTGTCCAAATACGGTGCATGCACACATGATCCAAATGAGGCAAGCTTACTGCCCGAAATGTATCATAAACACAGTTGAAATATAACAGTTTATATTGATTTTCATACAGCAGTTGCATACTTGATTAAACTCGATTTAATAATGCTATCAATCTATTAATTCTGAATAATTAACTTCAAGGCAGATAAATGGCGCTATGCATGTATTTTGAATAATGATATCGCAAACTTCGTTAATAATTAACTGATTTAAGACAATAATTACAGGGCTACTATAAATGATTCATTCGTTTTTAAAACGCTATATTTTCCAAAGTAATATACGTACAAATATGATTGATATATAAAATGAACCGTAAACTTACCAAGTTTGTATTATATGCACCAGTTGGCAGTATGAATTCAGTGCCTTTACAAAATGACGACAAAGCAAGGAAAGAGTTTTTTGAATGCAACGAGCATTCAAAAGAGAGTACGGAAAAGAACCGCCATGTAAAGGCACGCATAAAACATTTGTAGAGTGTGAAGAAAACTTGGTGAGTTTACAGTTCTTTTTATATATCAATCATTTTGTACATATATTGCTTTTGAAAATATAGCGTTTTAAAAACGAATGAATCATTTAGAATAGACCTGTTTTTCGGTTCACCCAACTTCACTGGAAATCGATTAAGTAGCGGCATCGAAATATCACTCATTTTCTTCCGTTTTGTTTTCAGGAAGGAGTTGATGCCCTAACCATTGCCTTACAAATCATCGGGATCTCGTGAGTCGAGAAACCCAGATATTTAGGCTCCAAGGCACCCCTGAACACTAAATATGGGGGTGGCCGAGGACTTTGCTCCGAGCTTCACCCAGAAGCCGCAGTTGCGTCAGGAAGATGAAGGGAATAGACTTGTATTCGAATGCCAACTACTGGCATCTCCAAAACCAGAGATCAACTGGTTTCGCGGTGAGACTCAGCTGGCAGAGGACAACCGCACCAACATGAAGATCCAGTCAGTAGGCACCAACAAATTCCTGGTCGTACTCGAGTTAGATGACGTCATCGAAAGCGACGCCGGCCTCTACAAGGTCAAAGCGAAAAACAAGATGGGTGAAGTGGCTGCCTCAATAAATCTCAACTTCAGCCGTGAGTACTCAATTGCATTTAAATTAATTTTTACCAGAAGTAGTTTTCACAAAGCTTTGTATTAATGTCTAAAGGATTACATCACGTGGCCTCTTCCCATTAGTTAATTGTGACCGACTGACTGATTGACGGGACCCGTCTTCTGCGATGTGACGCCGTGTTGTCCGGAAAAAAGTTTATTCTGCCCTATTACAGGCCGTCATATTGCAGTGCTCTTGGTAGTGACCGCTGTTAGACTCTCAAATCCAATAGAGTGATTAATTTTTCAGCAATGTTTCTCTGACATTTCGTAGACCTTATGACCTGTAGGTAAGCAGGCCAACACAAGACAGGAATAAGCAAAAATAAGTCCACATGTTCAGTGGGTCAAACCCTCAATTCCATTAATCCAGGGATCCGAGTTTCGTATGCATTTTAGACTGTGTGATCATCCTGATATGAAAAATTTGTAATTCTTTTAAGAAAGGGAGAACCTAAGCATGCAGTCTTTGAATGAATGCAACCTTTGTATTATTTAACAATCATAGACTTTGATTGCAGATACAAATATATTGCTGAAAATTTATCACACATCAAATATAACACGCCACAAAATGGTATTTTCCTCGCATTTAATTAAGCAGTGAGTTTTAATTAGACTGTATGAAAATTTAAAATATAAGTTGTAGATCGTAATGAAATATATTAAGAGGTCAGTCGTAGAATTTTTCTAAAATGAGCCTCTATTCAGAAAGCTGAAGTTAGTTCGATTGGAAATATAGTAAATGTTGTGCTAAACTAACATCAATCAAAATTTAACTTCGATTAAAACTTTTGAAGTAAACTTCTGTAACCAAATTTAGTTGAAATCCGCCCAGCAGTTTCGGAGACAAGGCACACTGACAGGAAAGAAGTGAACAGAATTTTCGATTACGAGCTGAATGAATAGTTACATGTAAAAGTTTGTTCAAAATTTTATGCGGACTTTAAAATTTGTAACCATTCCTTACAAAGTACTGCTGTGTTTGAAATATTTTAACAGCAAAAGAACATTCCCGCATTTCACAGAACTGATTTTGCTTTTAGTTCTTTGTCATTCTGCACGTTCATCAGCTCCACGTGAAGGTTTTATAAGTCCTTCTATATTTGAAGTAAAAAGGAGGAGTTAACAGTTGGATTCAGATTTCTGCTTTCTTTCAAATCCTGAATCCGTCTGCAGAATTCTTCACATTTGCTAAGAATATTACGGCACTTCTGTGCTTCAGTAGAACTCCCGTATGTTCTTCCCTGAGTAGAATAGTGTGAAAATTTTTTTTCGTAATTTGCTTTGGTAACAAAAGTTGTTTTAATCTGAAAGGCTGTACCTCTGTACATATCTGTTGTAGAAAGGGGAACTTGTCCTGGAAAATTAACATTCAGTTGAAGAAAGCAGTCTTCTGGGATTTGGCACCGTGTATATGTGGTGTTAACCGACGTTTCGGAGGAACGTATCGCCTCCATCTTCAGGGTAGAAGAAACTGTGTCTGCTTTTACCGGTTCTCACGGTCTCTTCGCTTTGCAGATTTCTTATATTTTTTCTTCTACCCTGAAGATGGAGGCGATACGTTCCTCCGAAACGTCGGTTAACACCACATATACACGGTGCCAAATCCCAGAAGACTGCTTTCTTCATAGTCACCGCCGTGAAAGCCTCAAATCTTACATAACATTCAGTTGTTTAGACGTTTAAAGACATCAACCATGAACGCTAGGCCATTTTCCCGTCTTTCGTCTCTTAATTGAGAGAACACTAAATCTTTACCTTCCATGTCCAGGAACAGGCCTGTTAATTCTTCTATTTGTAAGGCAAACACAGGATTCTGGGCTTTATGTAAGTTTAGCCATGACTCTTGTATTGCAGAAACCTCCCAATATCATTACACACGTGCTTCGTTGTTATTAATAAGACTGGGACCGGGAAAGGAAAATTTCGCATGCCCTGCAGTAAACATAAAGGTGAGGACGGCTATGAGGGTGACGTAAAGAACAAATTATGCTTCGACACATATAAAATCAATTAAAGGTATACGCATAGAAAACTTTCAGTGTAAGGCAGGGATGAGAAACGAGAATGGTTTTGCAATATCTTATTTTCCGACTAACGCTAAACATCCACCAACTGTGGACCTTGTCTGACCCCATCTCCGTAATATGAATGGTTCTCAGTTCGCATTTTGGGCCTTGCAATTGCAAAGAACTCAATTGACAGCCATTTTGCGCATTTTAATTATTATTATCATTGATATTGGGTTTTCGGACTTTATCCATCGTCCTGGTTTTAAGATAACTAAGAAAACACGACGTTTCGGAAACTGGATCTGTTTCCGTCCACAGGTGAGGGAAAATACCTATTCTGTTGGGTCCCTTAGAAAGAGCTACCCTCAATCACTGATCACTGACTAAGGGTAGCTCTTTCTAAGGGACCCAACAGAATAGGTATTTTCCCTCACCTGTGGACGGAAACAGTTCCAGTTTCCGAAACGTCGTGTTTTCTTAGTTATCTTAAAACCAGGACGATGGATAAAGTCCGAAAACCCAATATCAATGATAATAATAATTAAAATGCGCAAAATGGCTGTCAATTGAGTTNTTATCACTGTCATCAGTGTCTACTTAAATCGTATTTCTTTTAATGATGTCTGTTATGAGGACAATCGGAGAAGTGATAGTGATAAGAAATGAGGTACGAAATGTCACAAACTTATAACAGTAGCCATATTTCTGGTGAGGATTTGTGAGAGGGAGGGGGTTGAACAATGAAGGAGCAGCTGGAAAAATAAACGGAGGATAAAGAAGAAAACTGGAGACGTAATTATTTCGCGTGTTAGCGTGTTAGCGACCGTGGATAGTTTGAGAGAATGCAAAGCTGGATGGACGGAAAATAAATTTGGTAAAAGAAGAGAAAATGTTTGACATTTGAAGTGAATCCGTATGTGTTTGTAAAATGTGGTACATATTTTGTACTAACTTTAACACTTAAAAAAAATCATGTTTTAGCAAGAAACAGACGTTGATATTTTAAACGTGTGTACTGCAATATGTTGTACGATATTCTTATCATAATCTGTTTCATTTCAGCTGCCGACGAACCGCGTGAGAAGTAAGTACGAAAGAAAACAACGCTTACGTGTAGATAAACTTAACCTGTTCACACTAACCCTGGAATGCCATGCTCTGTTATACTTGCAGTAACTTACAAGCTTTCTTACTTCAACTTTTTTCTTTCTTTCCTTTTTCATTTCCGACTGTCGAGCAGGAGAGGACCAGGTAAGTACGCGTAGTTCAGGTTATCCGATAATGCAGTGTGCACAGTAACAATGCTTGTGTAATCAAGTTTTCTCTTCAACTTCTTTCATCTAAATTTTATAGTACTCCCCCCCCCCGAAATAAATTCATGTATCAAACGAACAGGTTCTTACAGCGGCAACGCTTTGTACTTGAGTTTGAGAAGCCTCTTGTTCCAATTTCGTTTCAGCTTCCCGCTGTTTTGAAATTTGTCATGATTTCCTCCAAGTCTTTAGGTGAATGCTGGGATAGCAACTGAAAATATACAATGGGTTCTTTCCCCCAAATCTTTCCAAATTAAACATACTGGATTGCCATCTTAAATAATTTGGCGGAATATAACGTTTATATATGATAGAGCGTCGTTATATACCCGGAAGTGTCCATGCTTCACTGGCTAAGGTTTTGATGGTTTGCCTCAACTTCTTCAGGTTAACTCAGTGGTATTGCCATGAAATCTGCCGTTTCACGCTCCTTATACACTTCATGATCACCTTCCCATTTCATTCGGTGATGCAGCCTATGCTACTGAAATGGTCGTTTTGTCTAAGAGTTTTTCATTCCGTCGCATTAGTTGTTTGTGTAATGACGCTTTCATATCGCAGGCTGTATAACGTCGAAAAGTAGCGACTAAAAATTGGGAAAATATGCGAAAGGAAACGGTCATGGTCCGATTCAAGGTTCTGTTGTGAACCTGCGTGCAAGGGCTGAAGAAAATAACGAAAACCCTCGACCAGGATAGCCAAATGTCGGCCCTTATTGCCAACCATGGAATTCCAAAATACGAGGCGTACTTTCCACTCGACTGTGAAGTTCATATAATTTATCGTATACAAGCAGAATGACAATTTCTTTACTAAAAATTCGTTTTGTATGTTTTCTTTTCTAGGATGTATACTTACACTAAAGGTGTCTAGAAAAAACGGATCTCAATTTTTTATATTTAGAATTTAACATTTTCTTCCTTATCTTTTAATTTTTCTCGCCGTGGAACCACAATGCAGCTGTCACCAGGAGGATGCCTTTCAAATTGACACTATGTCGCATTTGTATTTAGTGAGTTGCAAATATATCGAAACATTCCCACTGCCAAGACATTGCAGTGTATGTCGCTACCTCTTCATAGGTTATTATAGGCTGGCATGAGAATGCACAGGTCTTACCTCAAGTTCTATCCGATAGCTATTATTTAACTAATAGACTTGCCTTGTTCCATACTGCAGGTCACATTTGTGTTCATGTATAAATACATAGCCGGTCACTGTAGCCGAGCGGTCTAAGGCATGAACTGTTTTCGCTCGCTCGGAAGCCGGGGTCGTGGGTTCGAATCCCATACTGGGCATGGATATTTGGTGTGTGTATGAGTCTATTCTGTGTTTGTGTTGTCCTCTGTTTAGATAGCGGCCTTGCGACGAGTTGATCCCCCTTCCAAGGAGTCCTACCGTCTGTAAAAATGACCAGTGAAACTGAAAAATCAGCCCTGAGCTCCAAAAGTGGGAACGAGAGGGGGAAAAAATATATATGTATATAGACACACACACACACACACTCCCATTTCACATATTTTTTTTTTTAATGCTGTGAATCAGGATTAAGCCTTTGATTTTCTTCAGGTCATCATCATCATCATCATCATCATCATCAATCATCATTTTCACTACGACCTCTGATGGATGAAGCTTAGCTATTTGTTCTGACACCCTCTAGATAGCAGTTTATCTTCCTATATTTTGTTTGGGGGCTCTGGATTTTTCCGTCCTATTGGTTTATACTGCGCTGTCTGCTTTGTTTTCATTCAGCTTTTGTACTGACTGGTTCTTTGAGATGTGCGTCTCGTTGTTGATATTGCAGTTGGCTTGTGGGTGGTAGAAATCTCGCTTGTGCTGTTTCCCATTGTTTGGTGCCTCGTCTTTTTGTACTGCACTATCAGCATCGCATTCTAAACTTCCTTCTGCCGCGATGTTAACGTATTCTTATTTTTGTTTCTGATGATACATACTTAATGAAAGTTTCCTTATTGTTGTTTATTTTATTTCATGATTGTAATTTTATTTCGGTATCATCGTTGTAGTACGGTGTACCCTAGATATGGTACACAGGAGAAATTTCCAGTGGTTACAGTGGTAACTCATAAACATCGGGCATTCAGTTTGCTTTACACCTTACTCTCCCGCTCTTGTAAAGAGTTAAACAGTCTCCAGTGATAATTAACTCCGAATTCACAACGATAAATTTAATTATTTGTTAATATTGCGTATAGTAGTTTTCTTGGAATAAAAATAAATTACACGTATAACTTCACTTGATGGAAACTGAAGGATACTGCAATAATTGGAAAATATCAGCATGAAGTTACAGGAATCACATTCGGTGTAATTAATTTTCCCTTTTCCAGATTACTTCCAATCTCAATAATTGGTTGCGTGTAGAGCCTGTTATAAGTGAAATATGGGTTGAAATATTGTAACAACAGGAATTATGGGAATATTCCGAATTCAAAATAAGGGTGTCATTATTTCAGTAGTCTCAGTAGGCCTGTCTTATGACTAAATCTCATTAAAAACCATTGGCAATATTTGAATCGATTAATAACAGAGATGGTATAGAGACTGGGTACGGGCTTGACGAAAGATTGGTCGGAGTTCGAATCCCAGTAGCGTCAAGAATTTTCTCTTCTCCACGTTGTCCACACCGGCTATGGGGCCCAGCCAGCCCCCTATTCAATGGGTACCGGAGGCTCTTTCCCCGGGGGTAAAGCGGCCGTGTCTTGAAGCTGACCACTCACCTCCAACTAGTGCCGAGGTCGAGAAAACTTGGATCTATACATCCACTCCTACGCACGGCTTCATGCCGTAGTGCTTAATTGATTGAGCACAGGTACAACTTTGCCTTTTTTAATAATGATCCTAGATCGTAGTTTCGTGCTGGCTCAGGGCCACTCTAGTAATAGTGTAAGCAAATTAAAAAATGTATCAAAAATAGCACAGGTTATTCGAAATAGGAGATAAGGGACGGGATATTATAATTAATTGCTTCGGATTTGTAGAATTCTTAGTGACGACATATCATAGAGAAATCATCTGTGTGGTGGGCGTAAGAGTTTTATTTTTGTTTATTTAATTTCATCATGTGATTAATAATTTTCAGAATTTGCTTACAGAAGATATTTTAATTTATAAAAGAAATTCTGAGCAGTTCTTGCGATGAAATCATCGCCACGAAGGCACACTTACTACGTACGTTACTTTTATCGAAATCCTAGCCTAGAGAGTAGCAAATCTATGCCGCATTTTTGATGTCCTCGGTTCGAATCTTATAAGTCTGTTTATATATGACCTTCCCAATGCCGTGTTCTAAACCAGAGTTACAAATTGATGCCGATATTAACACTTTCATTTTTCAGACCATTCTGAATAGGAAATGCATCAGATAAGCGCTTTTTATGGGGAATTTTATCATAGGTTACCTTAGTCACGTTTTAATTTGCCTAAATAATTTCACCAATGTAACAAATTCGATGAGGATGTCATAACTTGGAACTGCGTCGTAGGCTTTCTTTATATTTAAAGAAAATAGCTGAGATATTGCATCACAGTTCTCTTTCTTGTAGTATCTGAAAATGCGAAATATCTCATAAGTTGTTGATCTTGTAAGTCGAAATCGATAATGAAGATCCCTGAGAACTTCATCTATGCACTGAATGAACCCTGGCAGAATAATGTCGGATAAAATTTTGTATGAATTTTACGATATTAAGTTTCCTCGGTAATTGCATCCGTTAATTTGTCTCTTTTTTCATGTGTATGTACAGTAATAGATTCCTTCCACTGTTGTGACAATATAAGTTTATTCCAGATAGAACGAGTAAGTTGATGCTGTTGGAATCCGATCGGTTGATCCTTTTCAACGTGTCGATACAAATTTGAACCACGGAAAGAGAGGGAACAAGCTTCGGGCACTATTGGTTTAGCTGTATATACTTTAGTCTATGGGATATTTTTAACTCATATTCATTAGGCAGGAGACTGAATTAATATTTTTACTATTTAAGTTACTGTAGAAATCTTAAAGTACAATATCATTCTCATCTTTTACCAAGCTAGCTCTAGGTTTATAGTCCTTATTAATTCAACTTACGGATCTATAAAAATCCATAATGTTTGTTTTTACTGTTTGTTTCAAGCTCTTTAATTTGCTTTGCTCATATTTTCCTATTTTTTATTCCTGAAATTTCTACTGTTTTTGCTTCTATGTTGTTCACATTACTTTCATTAAATCCCGATTCTGCAACCAACTAATTATGATCTGCTACAATTTATCTCAAATATTGGAGAATGTTGTTCAGACCGCGGTCTCTGCTGCTTTAAATCACCGAAATCCCTACTCTTTCCTAACTATGCATTGGTAGTCTCTCTACCACTTTCAGAAGCCCTGTTAATAATTATGTATAATACTCGTATTTTATTTAATTAACAGCATATTTTCCCACTCAGGGCGTGGATGTTTGTGTGCGTTTTTCTGTGTTTGTCTATATGTAGAGGCCTTGCGACGAGCTAATCACTCGCCCAAGGAGTCCTACCGAATGTGTAAGATCTAGAAAAACCGAAGTGAACGGAGAAGTTCATGGAGGTAGGCCTAGGCCCACTGGGGCTGTAGTGCCAAGGAGAAAAAAAATAGCATATTTACAGTCTACTCTCGATAATACGGGGTAATTAGTAAATCTGTTCTAAGTAGTTGTCTTGAGTAGAGAAGTTATCCACTGATGATACTGTGACAGGCCCTGTAGCGGAATTATAATGGCTTTGGCTTTCTTCA